GCCCCCGGGGGGGCCGGGCCAGTTTTATTTACCTGCTGACGCGGCACATCGCTCGCCCGCGCCACTTCTCGCCGCCCCCATTGGCCCAGGACGGCGAACCGCGGCCAGTGGGGGCCGCGATCGGCCGAACCTGCCGCATCAGCAGGTAAATAAAACTGGCTCGGCCCGCCAGAGTGCTTACCCTGGCGAGCCGCGTGCCGAACGTTCCGACCCCTAGTTTAGAGACTGCAGGGTGTGTTGGCTGTAGTCACTTCCTGGGGAGAGGAAGAAGGTTTTGGGTACCAGGGAAAGAGCAGTGAGGCTAGAGAGAAAAAGGCTGGACTGCTGAGCTGAGAGTCCCTTGGCTGGAACCCGGAGAAGAGGGGGGGCCTAGATTCCCCTACTGGCCACTGTGGGAGTGGCACCAAAGTAATGAATGGGAAGACTGACTAGGACTGTTGAGGAACTATACCCCGAAAGGGGGAACTTTGAGTGACCTAGCCAGAGGGCTGAGTCACAGAGAGGATGCTGCGGTTCCTGAGACAGAAAGAGGGGCTGCAGGCTGAGAGAGCTGGAGTGGTGGCATGCGAACCACAGAACAGGGTGTTGACTGAATGAGCTAATCCCCAGAGTGACCAGCAGGAGGCACCATGAGTGGTGTGCCCTGTGATAGAAGTAATAATGAATAGATTTCAGCTGTGCATCTGTAGGCACACCACATTCCAATATGCTGCAACAGCAGTGGTGCCTTTGTTAAAATTAAGTCACCCCCTGGATGGTGGTGGTGATCTTTTCTATATAGCATTTTGTGGGGATAGGGAAGGAGACAGTAGGTGTAAAAAATTGTGTAGGGTTTTTTTTGGGGGGGGTATCATTTGACTAATCTCTTCTCCCTCCATTCACGTGGCCCTCTACTTATTCCATTATGTGAAGGGGGGAAAAACCCAGTCCACAAGTTGGCAGGGAGGGGGTTAAAATCCCTCCTCTGGAGAAAGAGGCATATATATTCCCCAAGTGTGGAGTAGAAGGGCTGGCCAGAGGTAGGAAAGTGATTCCTCCTAGCTATCTATAACAGCATTGTACTGTGGAGAGTTAGAAGGCAAATCTGGCAATGGGTTGGGAAAGATGGATTTGTATGAAAATGGCTGGTGCAGAACACTGGATGGACCATTTTTCTGTAAGGAACTTTGTTGTAGCAAGCCATGCCTTGGCTCTCCAAACCCCTCTGGGCATAACTTACCGGATAAAAGTGCTTAGGTCAGAATGGTCATTTCACATGGAGTTGCCAAGTTGTGCTTAATATTACAAGCTTTTACCACTCCTAGCTTTGTGTTGCGGTGGCCTGAGTCAGAAATTCATGCTACGCTTCAAATTTTTGTGGTCACAAGTAATATGAGCGTAAAGCTGCTGCACTTGGCATATCATTGTACATGTGCACACTTGGCTTCTTGCACTGGTGCTGCACATATTCACCAGGTGTGCTTGTGAGCGCCAGGTTTGTATAATTTTTGAACGGGTCCAAGCAGAGCCGTCTCATCCGTAGGATGGACTGGGGCAACCACCCTGGGCCCCGTGCTTTGGGGGGCCCTACACTTCAGGGAGATGCAGGTTCCAGGGCAGCCTGGGGGGTTAGCGAGGGGCCTGGCGCTGGCAGCAGCGAGCAACCCGGCCCCAGCCGGCCCTGATGGCTCCCGGGGCGGGGGGCTTGGGGGAAGGGGTGGGGCAGAGCAGGAGTGGGCTGGGGCTGGGTTGCCGGCTGGTGCCAGGTCCCCTGCTAACTCCCCAGGCTTCCCTGGACCCCGCATCCCCCTGAAGCGTGGGGCCCCCCAAAGCACGGGGCTGGGGCGGTTGCCCTGGTCCATCCTATGGACAGGACAGCTCTGAAAACATGAGCCCAAACATTCGTGGAGCTGGGCCCACGTTCTTGAATATTGGTGGAGCACTGGCACCACAGGCCCATATAACTCGCCGCCTATGGCGTGTGTTTGTGTACAGTACACCATGGATAGGTATTCTAGTGCACAATCCACCATCATCCAAACACTGTCTTTTGGCAATGCGTGGTAGGACAGAAACAAGTTGTGCAGGGGTGATTGGGAGGAAGGGGTCAATTTCCCAGCATGCAACTGTCTCCATCCCATAATTTTCACACCTTTTTTTTAAAAATCCCATGAACCCACATGGTCCTCCTCACTGTCTGCCATCTTGACAGAAGCATGGAGTCCGCACAGCTCCGCACTATTGTCATAAGCGTTGCAAGCACAGAATGCAAAATCCTCTGGAATTTGCAGAGCTGGAAGAAGAACTGAATCAGTGGGAATATGATGATTTCCTGGAGGGCACATTGCTGTGGGACATAGCATGAAACGGGAGTGGCGGAAGCTCCCTAAATGTGGGGGTGGGGAGCAGGCCCCTTCCCATGAGGCTCTGCCCTCTCATGCCGCCCCTTCCCCCCAAGTCCCACCCTCTGCTTGCTCCTCTCTCCCTCCCATTGCTCACCCTCATGGCCAGTAAAACTGGGAGGGCATAACCTTCCCACTTTTAAAAGTGATGGCTCCCTTGTTCAGGGAGCTACAGTAATGCCTTGTGGTGTACTGTACTCTTCCTGCCCCAGCTATTTTGGGCAAAGTTAGGATTCGTGTGATGTACATCTATTGGTGTACAACTTTGTCAATGGACCTATTAATCTTGTGGCACTTGCTATATATTTAGGATTATTCCACTGTTTGTCACTGATCCTATGAGTTGTCACACTGTGCGATGACAAATAAGTGGGTGTGTTTGGTATGACTAGGCATTCTGTAGCATATATTGTGAACTAATAGGATGAATTATTTTCCAAATAATAGAATTTTGAGTAACACAACCAATGCGCAAAGAAAAATCTGTGCAATTTAAAGGCAAGTACAGTAACAATTTAATAAATTAATGAAACAGAACTTAACAAGGGGAAAGAACATGCATGTCCATTTTACCTACACATACAGCAACCATGGCTTTCACAGCTCAGCCTATGTGAAGCTGTGGCTGTCCTTAATGTCCCTTGGTGTGGGTAGGGGTGCAGTCCGTGAAGCCACATGGGATATTGAGGAAGCAGGAAGGTGGTGTAATGAAGTTCTCCATGGAGTGCAAAGAGAGACAAGCCTGTGATTGTTGAACCTATAGGTCCACAAGAGTCTGCAGCATCCATGTTAGCTGCCAGAGAAGCTCTATCATGTCCTGGTCCATCTCTGTCTCCTTTCCTGCTGGGCATCCACTCTTTCCTTCTCCAAGCTGTCTGCAATATTCAACCTCCAGGCCCTTTGTGCACAGTCTGATGTGGCACTGGCTAATAGGATCTATTAGAAGAGGACTCTGGATGACATGTTCATTCTCCTCATCTGGAACCCCTCAAGGCTGCAGTGGCAGCAGCTACAGATAAAACACACAGAGGTACCATTGTCAGTATAGTCACAACAGAAAGCGAAAGTTAAGATTTAGGACTCCTTCCATGCTCCCCTAAAGCTTTAAACAAGACATGCTTATTGACACTTCTGCCTTGAAGTACTTGAGTACGGCACCACTCACAACACCAGGCAGGGTGAATATGGCCTGTCAAGGGTGAGGGAAATGAGGAAGGAATTGCTCAGTTGCATGAAACGGAGTATAGGGCAATGGCACTGAATACTGGCACCATTTTCCACCAGCAGTGGTGATTTTAGCTGATATCTCTCCTGAAGGTGACACAGTTGAGAGCACAGCTGCTGCTGGCATCTTAAAGCCACCTGGGCCCATATGCTGCTAGCCTGTGTACTGTGACTGGTGTGGGAAAGTGTCCATGGAGGAAGAAATAAGGCTGCTACCCCTAGAAACCTACTGGAGAGGATTGCAGAGTACCCCCATCAAAGTGTCAAGATCTCTCAAGAGAATGCCAGGGACATGCCTGTGTACATAAACAAAATGGTCTGCATTCCCCACCCCTCCCTAACTCTACGGGGAATGAAAAGCAGATAATGCTACTTCTCCTTGTACTGCTACCTTTTCTAGTATGAGTAAATTTAATGGAAGATCAATAACTGTGTCCTGCTACATTAGGAGCACCATAACTGTAATGGGAAATACATTTACCCACTTACCTGAGAATCGTTCCCCAGGAGTGACTGGACTGTGGTGGTGTCTCAAACAGGTCCTGATGCATGGCGTAGCTGGAGCCCATGGTTGCATGTCCCCCACCACCACCACCTCACTGTTCATGCCAGAGGTCTGTGACTGGATCCTCAGAGGTATCCACAGTGGTCTGTGGGGAGGTAGAGGAGTCTCTGCCAAGTATGACATGCAGCTCTTTGTAAAGCACTGGATTGACTTCCCCAGTCTTCTGATATGCCCATTGTCATTCCTTCGCTGTCATGTGCCATTGCTGCTGATTCCTGTCACATCCCTTCTCCTGCATCCCCTGTGCAATTTGCTGGTAGATGTCCACATTTCTACAACTGGTCTGTAGCTGTGCCCACACAGCTTCTTCTCCCCACAGGATCCAATATCTCTTCTCTACTCCAAGCCAGAGTGTGTCTGGAGCATATAGCTGGCATGGTCAGCTGCACACAACAATGGAGAGCTGCTACGTGTGCTCGCCAAGCTGAGCAATCAGGAAAAGGCATTTTAAAAGTTGCAGGGCTTAAAATGGGGTGGAGAGAGGGGGGACTTCTGGTCTCTGTGACCCTGGGCAGTGGAGTTCACAAGTGTGATGAGAGCTGTCAGTGTCAGGCATTACGGGACAGCTGCTAGTGGACTGTTAAGATCGATGTAGGTAATGCAGCGTCTACACTCCCGCTGCGTCAACTTCAGTACATCGACCACAGCTCAGCGCCGCTTCGGGAGGAGGTGTTACTGCATCTCTGTAACAGGGCGTTTGTCAGTGGGAGACAAATTTAAGCACAGACACATGAACAATGTCTATGGAGGGCAGCTTATGTGACCTAACTTTGTAGTGTAGACCAGGCCTCAGCCTATATTGCTTCTCTCCTAACTCATCCTTCTCTATCCCTTTCACAGATACATGTCCATTTACCTACTGTGTGTCTGAGACAGACTAACTCTTAGCAAAACATGCTGGTTTGAAATTCAAAGGTGACCAAAAAGGTTGATTAAAACAGGTAACATGCTCTTTAACTTACACCCTCCTATAAGCAGCTACTTCTGCTTCGCTATCCTTCAAACCCCGTGGCATGTAACATGCCACCTTAAATTTGTATCATTTACATAAACAATGGCCAGTTTCCTTCTAGAAGCCACTTAAAGCTCAGGGGAAGCCAGGTCATTCATCACTGGATTTTGTCTCGAGTGATTTAGTTGTGTAGTTCTTAATCATTAGGAAGAGTTCAGAGGAGAAGACTTCCATCCATCAATATTCAGACACTTCTGTATCTTAACTGTTTACTTGTCCAGATAGTACAGTAACCTATCCAGTTTTTTGTATCCTAGTTGTCCACTTTGTCTTGTCAACCACTACCAACACTTTTCCAAGAGTTCTCTTCAGGTTCACAATTGTACCCAGATCTTTCAGCAATAGATCAACCCCTAGCGTTGTAGCTTACCGAGCTACAGCATGGCATTTGGCACTGTATTCAATGTTGGCTCTCTCCTTGCTATTTCAAAATGGAATACTGTGATAACAAACAACTTAATGACATTGTATGGTGGAACAAATTAACTAGATTCTGCTTATAATGGGGTGTATTAGGCCCAGAGGCCCTCTGCTGGAGGCCTCTCAGTCGTACCACACCCATCCCAGGGAAGGGCAGTAGAAAAGAGTCCTCCAAGACCAACCAGAAAGAGGCTGCAGGGAAGCAGCCAATCAGGGCCCATCAGGTTTGTATAAAAGGAGCTGCAGGGCCAGTCTGAGTTCAGTTGGCTGGCAGGGACCAGGGGATCAAGGAAAGTTCTCCTGGCTGCTGGGACTCTAGAAAGATAAGGGTCATGGGGAAGTAGCCCAGGGAAACATTGTTACTTCAAGGGATGTGGCTGCTACTTAGAGGATCCCTGGATTGGGGCCTGGAGTAGTGGGTGGGCCCGGGTTCCACCAACAGCAACTGGAGAAATGGCTAAGATCTGAAAGTGGGGATTGAAACAGGCCCAGGGAAGGGACTGACTGTTAGACTCTGGTACATCCAGGGAAGGGGGCTGAACTGAGACTGAGTCAGCTGAAGGGTTGGGGGTTTATAAACTTAGTTCAAGAGGAGTGGCTCAGCTAGAGAGCTGGGGTCACTGAGGACTCAAGGGAAGTCAAGTGAAGGCAAAGAGTCTCCAGGGAGGAAATCCAGAGCAGGAATCCTCTCAAGCTAGCCGGACCCCAACTGCGGGGTGCCATGATGGCCCCTGTTGGACTGTTGAAGGACTGAGCCTGGGGAGGGCTATAGCACATTACTGAGGGCATTGAGATGGGCCCAGTTGGACTGTATTCCCCGGAAGGGGTTTGTTTAGTTTCACACATGGACTGTGTGTGACTTGCCTGGAAGGTTGAGTCACCAAAGACCTGCCTGAAGAGCAGCAGCTGACAGGGGCACTATGAGTGGAGGAGACGGAGAAAAAACCGCAGGCCCACACAAACTCAACCTGGGGCTGCTTGCATGAGGTGAGTGCACCCCGTTACGTTGCTATTTTGTAGATCCACCAAAATTAACACTACATTAAAATCCTAGTTTTCCTGTTCAAAGAGATGTTCAAAACCAAAATGTAAACTCTGGTTTGTTTGATTTAAGCCCTGCACATGTTAATTTTAGATGGACACAACACAAATAGATAGTTGAGTCCAACTGAACTCACCGGGAATAGTCACAAATAAAGCTACTGATCCTAAGTATTTGCAGGATTCGACAAGTATGCTTTTAGCCAGGGCCGGCTCTAACTTTTTTGCTGCCCCAAGCAGCAAAAAAAAAAGACACCGCCCA